AGCCACGCCCCTTTGGCGGGCCCGGCAGCGCGGGGAGGGACAGGAGGCGCGCATGCGGAATGTTTTGGGTTGTTTTGGGGTTTTCCTCGCCCTGGGAAGCGGCTGCCGCCCCGGAGAACATCCCTGGGTGCGGGCAGCGGACACCCCCAAAAAATCCACGCGTGTTTTCCTGGCCGGTCGGGACGCCGCTTCACGGTGCCCCCAGCCCGAGCTGTCCGACCGTGTTCCTCACCGGCCGCCTGTCAGTCAGGGTGAACTTGCTCGCCTTGTTTGTGCTTCGGCGGGTCGGTTTTGACTTACCCCTGTGGTATGTGGAAGCGCCGACTCCAATAAACCATTAACTCTTTCTCGTGCCGGCAATCAGGCTAGGCTTTGCCCGGGACGGCTCCACCGCCCTTTTATGGCAAAGCCGGAACCGGGCTTACCGGGTGCGATGCACGCGTGGGGTCTCAGCCCCTCCGGGAGCGCCACCGAGCCCCACGCCAGACGCGCCACAGGGTCCAGGCGGACGGCTGGGACATCGCGCGGGGTCGGGAGGGGGAGTGATGTCCGCTCGCCTCAGGGACTTCTTTGTCACGCCGCCCGCTGTCGTCTCGTCTGGGTTCCTCTCCGCGGAGCCCGCTCTATCCTCCCGGTCCCCCGCTCCAGCCGCTGGGCTTCGCACCTTCCTTTGCCGCCGCACCGTTCCTCTGCCCGCCACCACCAGCCGCAGCTACTTCGATRTCGGGATGTTTGGAGAGAATCCGAGCGCCCACCTTCCACCGGAGTGTGGTCCCGGCGCTCTCCCCGACGGTGAGACCGCCCGGGTCCCGCGGCAGCCTGTCACGGCCACAGTGCCCTCTAAAATACCGAGCAGCTCCTCCGTAAACCGCGTCTTCTCCCGTTTCGTGTTTTATGACCCATATACTACTGTTTAAACGTAATTCTCTCAATCTCCGAAGCCACCTTGCCAAAGCTTGACCTCTCACAATTCAGTTAGCCGTGAAAAAAAAAGTACCCGTCGGTTGTCAAAACGCAGAGATTAAGATATCTACCGGCGCTGGCTGGTGTACAGGGTTGGCGGGGAAATGGGGTTTCTCGAAGGTGGGACCCCCATCAGGAGGAGCTAATCCCGACGCAGATAACTCTGCCCTGGAGATCGGGTTATCACCCCATCGGCCAGCGCATTCCCGTTTTGGGATGAATAGCCAATATTTTCAACTGGGTAACCCCGCACCGCCCCGCTTGTCTAGGGAAACTCTCTTCCTGTATCTCTCAATCACATGTAGCATTRTTGTGTTTGACTTTTAGGGACTCATCCCCTGTCTCTCTTCGCACAGATCGGATGCCAGCTTGAGCGACTTCCCCTCGCGCCGCGCCAGCGGGATAGCGCCCGGATTAAGTCAGCTCAGGGGAAGGCAAGAGCGTGATTCGTTCCCGGCCGCAGCCATGAGCAGGGTGAGAATCAGTAGCATTTCTGGACTGGGATCGGGGCGGAGAGGGAGAGTGGGCAGGGAGAAGCAGCAACGACTCACTGATGCCACCACCAGTGGCACCCCCGGCTCCGGAAGGCTCCCGGCCCCGCTCCTGCCAGCGCCCGCGGAGAGCAGAGTGGGGGCCYCAGTGGGCTCGTTTCCAGCGAGGCTCTTTCCCCACTTTTTCCTMCCAAGCTGCTTCCCTCACAACCCCACTCCCCCTCCTTGTGACCCCGAACCCATCGACGAGAGCAGCGTGTGGTGGTGGTCCGGTGTCGCGACAGAGCCGCGTGAAGCTCTCAAGGCAGGCACATGGGTAAAACCCCCACTGACAATTCCTACACGGGTGAATGCCCCCATTATGACCCCTGCCCGTGGGTCCTTCCTGGGTGCTGCCGCGCCAAGGCTGCTTCTTCCGCCGGGCTGCTGCTCTGCATCTGCGCAAATGGCAAAGCAGAGTGCCGGCTGACAGGGCACCTGTGCCACAGAAACCGTGGGGAAGGGCCACGGCTGTCGACACGGGGCTCGGGGAGGTTCCTAGGTGAGTGGTCACCATCTGTATGAGAACAGTGCAACCACCAAYTCGCAGGTCCCCGCAGAGTCACGTACAGGTAAACTGATCTTAAAAAGAAGCACTTGCATAACTACCAGCAGAGAAGATGCCTCAGCTCATGGAGTATCTTCCGAAAATGTCACCATTTGCAAACCCATGGGTTCATCTTCGCGTGTTTCTGTCACCAAATASTGAAAATGGTAATAAGAATTTATTGGTCATAAATTATTGTACAACAGGCTTTCACAGGCTGAAATCTCTCAATGGCTCAGTACTGGCTCAAGTCTATTTTTCTAGTCATAAATGAAATACTTTATTCGAAGGTCTCCTTTTCAAAGAKCTTTCCCCCTCCCCTCACCTAAGGTTTGCGGCAACCACTGACTACTAAAACAAYCACCCGTGGTTATTTCAGCGACGCTGGTAGTGACAGGGGGTCTGCCTTTCCCTAGTAATCTGCTTTCAAGATAGTTTGCACCAAGCGATGGAAACTCTTATCAGCTCCGCTTGGAGCAAGGTTGAATTCGTGTTAGGAACGACCGGAGGGTCCCAGGTCTCCCCCGGTTTGAGGCAGGCACGGCGCAGGGGAGGAGGCTGCTCTTCCCGCGGGGATTTCCGCGGYCGCGGTGCGGCGCGGAGCGGCTGCCTGCACACCCCTCGTACACACAGACACACACACAGAGACACACACACACACACGCAGAGGCACAGACACTCTCTCGGAAAGCCTTCAAATCCCCAAACACAAAAAGGGAAGGCTTTATCGGAGTTTAGTTACTTATCTGGATTTTTGTTAAACCGCTGCTGTGATCTCCGCGTAGTTGCGCGAGTGTGTTAATTGTTCTGATAATGTGTTGTTATCGATACAATAACAATACAGTCGTGTATAATGTGATTTACTTGCCTTTGACCTGTCAATTCCTGGCGCATGCAAATTCAAGGGCGCGATCTTTCCTTCTGCTACCGGGGGAGGGGGTGAAGGGAGGGGTGATTGTGGGGGGGAACAAAAACCCGAGCAGATGCTTTATCACAGGAAGGCTAAACAGGACTTTCCAGAATGCAATGCTATATTCCATCACGCAAGATCAGAGCGCTTTTAGAAATATTAAAGGGGGGGTTAGACTATCTTCTCGATAACCCGTGTGTTAATTCTGTCGGCTTGCTTATAGTAGGTGTAACTACACCCACTCCAAATACTGCCCGATTTCTCAAATTCTGACCAAACATCTAATTTCTCGTGCTTTTTTAAAGACGAATTTAAAGTGAGTTTCKAGGAAGCAAGCTCATTTCCTCCTAATTTTTATTTGAGCCTAACAATCAGGTAGCGAATCAAAGAGATAAAAAGAAGTTGAAGAACAGTGGTTATCCCGATAGCGATCTCCGCCTCGCCGTGCCTCCCAATTGAAAAGCTGATTCACGGGCTCGGCAGCCCCAGCACTCCCCGGCATTGGCAGAGCCACATCGCGTTTTCACGGCTCCCTTTGTGCACTGAAGCGTTTCCATCCACCGACTTTGAAAGCTGACATTTTTCTTCGTGTAGGGTATCAGTCACCGATTCCACATCACTTTCAGCTGTCCCARGTTGCTGGGCAGGCTCGAATCTTAAGCACACCAACAAGTTGGCAGGCTGATCGTTGTGCTTGTATGGAGCTTGGCAGGTTTGTGAGCGCTCCTAAGTCTTTTTCCTCTCGCGAAGTCCAATACACCTGTAGTGAAAAGGGAGTTTTACCCCGTGAGCTCTTTATTGTGCATAATAYGCTAAAGTCATTCATTTGCTTTTACAGAGTGCTTCCAAATGCTCGGTATTATTATTTTTCAATAACATTCACATATTATTAGAGCAGCTGGTAGCCCAAGCTCTAGTGAAGTGTCTGGCAAAGGATTCTATTATAAAACACTGGTTTCTAAGTTTATAGTTTCTAATTTGGCTGTGAAAGTGTGATTCTGGATGGAACTTGGCACTCAAATGCTCAGCTGGAGAGTAAACTTTTTATAATAAAAACATTGGTTTACTGGGTTTGCTATTTTAAGTTAGAAGAGAATTAACAAAGTTTTTACTAGTTTGGGAAGCATAGAGAAGTCCTGTACTTTTTTGAAAATTAAATGTTATGATTTTGGTAAGAGTTGAATATGTTCTGTGATTTAATGTGTATTACTTTAAAAGCAAAATCCGATGTATGTCTGTGCCTCAGGATACTGGGGTTGCTYTAGCAAGAACACCAGACCCAGATCTCACACAATCATTGATGGCAGTTCTGATCAGAAGGTGGTGATGGGGTCCTTACTACTTATAAAAGTAAAGAAAACTTTAAAATTCAGCCTATTTGATTTTGCTAAGAGACTAGATAATCTTTATCTAATCGGTATGCACTCCATTTGTAAGGCAAGCTATTTTCATGTACTTCAATGAGTCAATTTTTTGCTGCTTCTTAATCCTGTTAGCCTTGCAGTGGCTTTGCTGCCTGGGAAGGATGATCAGAAGCACAAGGAACAGCCAAGGAAATCTCAGAACAAAAAAGAGATGATGTTTGTGTGGTTACATGCTAGTTGCTGTCTGGGGAAGTGAAGGCGAGAACAAGTCTCATGGCAGAGTTCCTGGACAGGCTTAGATGTTCCAGAAAGGGCAGCTAAATACCTACCCAGCACGAGGAGCTACTGGAAACTCGTCAAGTAATACAGATATGTAAGCTTCCCCTGCCTCACATGATGAAATCAGAGCTCCTATGGATGGAGACTGGATGCTGTCTCTAGAGTCCAGGTTTCCCTGTTTCGGTAGTCTCCTCTATTTTTTTTCTTCAAAGGCTGAGCAGCACTCATACTTCCTTTTTCCAAAGGAATGGACYTTATCGTTGTGGTGTCAGTGCTTTGTATGAAAGTATGGTATGRTTTTATAGTTCCCCATCAGGAGAGGTGAGCCTTGCTTTTTGGTGTCTTCTACTACAATCTTCTTTATATACATAAAATCTCTGAAGACTTTTGCATTTAAATTCAATCAAAATTCTACAGTGACAAAAATCATCTCATTTCACTTCTCAGGGCTGTCCAGCAGTCATAGAGGATGTTTTTCCTGGAGTTAATACATTTCAATGACCAGTCTAGTTTTGTTCAAGGTTCATTCATAACTGTACACAAAAGGTTGTTTTGCTAGTTATGGGTGCTAGACAGGTCCTAAAAAAATCTAAGCAATTTTGAAGACRAGGTCTTAGATGTCAGAGGATAAGGCTGTGGTTTGGAAGCTTTTGACATTTTGGCATTTCAGGATTTGTAAGTGTACAAAAGGAGGCTAGAAACATGATCAGAGTTTGGTCCATTCCCCTCCGAAGAAGAGTTGAGCAYAAATTTTTTCTCTTTGCCTTCTGATTATAATGACTTTTTAGTTGACTACAAACAACTAGGGAGTGGAGGCCCATAATGGAAAGAATCTATATCTCTTTGGATTTAAACTCATGGCCTTTGCTTCTTTATGATCAGTGTCTTGTTTTTCTGTTTGTAAGAATGGGCAGTTTCTGCATTCCATTTGTTAGGAGGAATCAAAATGTCACTCAGGAAAGTTCAACGTTAGTGGTCACAAGCCAGATCTRGTGATCAGAGGAGTTAAACACAGAGGGTAACTGCACCTACACACCACACCTACATTAGTACCTGCACCTGCATTTTTAGCTTAGATCAATGGTGCCACAGCTTTCCAAGCAAATCTCTTCACTTGCTCCCTCCATTCTCTGGTTTCCATTGAGGAGCAGTCAGATGAGACTAAATCATCAGATATTCTTCATCTGCTCTTGGGAGTGTGGTCTCCAAAGACTCCAGCTCAAACTAAATCAGCTAGACCCCAATAGCATAAAATGGATTATATTTAGTGCTTTTGATTCAGACAAAACACCATTGACCATTCCACTTGTTGCATCCACTTATTTTAGGTTCTCCAGGATGATCTTTTCTGGTGGAAGGAAAAGGCACTTCTGCCACTGCATGAGTGTTCCACTGGTAAGGAGTAGCTCTACTTTGTGGGTGTTCTGTGACCATAGGCATGAGTAGTAAAAACCCAAGGACCAGTGAGTCAATGGTTGCCTGGCCTTCATCCTTAACACAGGTTTTGGGATTTTGCTAGGCCTTACATCATCCTCACCATAAACTTCTCACTCTCCACAGTAGGATAYGTAATGGCTTCCCTTGGCATGGACATCGAATGGAAACTATTCTAATTTTCCAAAGTCAGTTGAACAATTTAATCTTATTGTGGTGAGCATYGCCTCAATTAAAAAAAAMCAAAAAAACTTTACTTAAGTGTGCAGTTTCAATAGTAATAATTGCTAGACTATTTTTTTCACCTCCAAATTTAGATTTTTCTCTCACTTTAAAAAGTAAGCTATTATTTTGAATAACTTATCTCTATAAACACTTGCCAGGTTTGTATAATCATCTCCTACTAAGCTAACACACTACTACTGCTGAGAGTTCTGAAAGATTGAGGTCTTTTAATTTGTCAGCATCATAAAAGCGTCTCATGGAATATGTTGTGCAGTGCTAGACTTCAAGAAAAATACAAATTCAGTGGACAGAATGCAGCAAGACTGATCAGAGGTCTAAAAATGTGCTATATACACAGATATACAAGTAAAGATTGAAAACAACATTGTTACTTAATCTGGAGAGGAGAAGGAACTGGTCTTTAGGGGTATAAAAGCTAAATGCCAAGATGAGAGGATTAAATTATGTTTGTGGGGATAAACAAGACATAATGAGCTTAAGATGTGAATTCCAGTTAAATCCTGGAAAAATATAAGCTTCAAATAGTGAGTATGGATCTGCAGAGCCTGCTTCTGCCTGGAGAAGCAATGGGAACACCAAAGGATGTTAAGAACAGGTGAGACCARCTTGTCAAGAGTGACAAAACCCTAGGACAGTTTTCTTCTGCTCCTCTTTGTATGGATATGTGACATGGGAAGAATCAGTTTTCACTTAGTTCTTCATGTAATCTTTTCCACTCTTCTGAGCCCACACATCCTGCTGGTTCACAGCCTGCAAACTCGCCATTCCTCTCCTACCCMCACGTGATCAGCACCAGTGCTCCTCCCCTGTGTGAGCATTGCCAAAAGGACCCWATGTGAGCATGTCTTCCACTGACATCATGTTCTGTTTTACTCTCTGGTTTAGCTGGTTCTGGCCTTCTCTTTCTTCTCAGCACAGTTTTGTCACTGTCTGTGAGAAGTCCTGTTACTGACATGACTTTACTGTTTTTTCCCCACTTTCTCACTTTTCTATTGTGTTTCAGATCTCTGTTGAAAGTACATTTTCTGCATCATTACTATATGAGTTTTCTCTTCCAACTGCATTCCCTAGATCTGTAATTGGAATATTCAATTTAATCATTAATTGTACTGTCATTTATATGAAATTTCAGTGCAAGTTATTTGAATCRCATGAAAAAAAGGAAAGGTCATCACTGATAGATAGCATTGGCAAAAAATTATCAATAGGGTACCAAATCAGTGACAAATTTRACTCTTGGTGTATGAAATTTGTTTAGGGTATCTTTGCTGGTAATGTGCAGGGAAGTTTGTAATCCTCTACAGACATTTAAATTTCTTCCATAATATTCTCCCATGTGAGGTTCACTGATATAAAAAAGAAAGGTGGTTTTTGTTAGTGTTATTGAGAGTCTGACTTTTATTACTGATTGTGTAGAAAGAATAAGAGAGCAGAACGTACATGAAGAAAGAGACTTATAAAAGAGCAAGGAGTTTTGCAGCATTCCTGGAGATGCCATTTCATTTCAGTGGSTAAAATAAAATCAAAATTTTCAGAAGAAGTTCTTTTGGTATTCAATTCTCTTGTCAACTTTTTCTTACATATTATCAGATGTTGTTTATAGAGTATGAAGAAGATCATGCCAAARTGCTCATTTGCCCAGAAAGTAAATAATTCAGACTTGGATCTTCTGAAAGACACAAGAAGAATWGAATGCAGATCTTTCAAAGTATGAGGGTGCCTAATTTCCATTGATTTTAATTCCCTCAAGGAGATTCAATGGGATATTATGCCCTAAATTCCTTGAAAATATCTGTACACTCTGAATGGAATCAGCCCAAAGCACATTTATTCTTTATGATAGAAACAGATTGTTGTATTGTTTCTTGTTCACCCCCTCCAGTTTTTTAATGCTTCAACCGTTTTCCAAGTAGGATGGTTAAACAATGGCTAGAACAAAGACTATATAAAGTTCCATTTTCTTGGATTCATCTGGGTCTTTACTCCATTTTCCAAATGAAGCCCCGTCCTGCTGCACYAGGAGTTACCTGAACAAATTTCCATGGAGT